CCAGTCTGAGGTGGTGGTTTACACATTGAGTTCCTACGATCACCCGAAGACTTCAGGAGCCTCTTCAGATATTTTGATTAAGAAATAAAGTGGTGGTGCCAAAACCGGTTTGGCTCGGTGGATAGAGCATCGGCCTGCAGACTGAAGGGTCCCAGGTTCGATACAGGTCAAGGGCATGTACCTTGGTTGCAGGCACATCCCCAGTAGGAGGTGTGCAGGAGGCAGCTGGTCGATGTGTCTCTCTCATCGATGTTTCTAACTCTCTAGCCCTCTCCCTTCCTCTCTGTAAAATATCAATAAAAATATATTTAAAAAAAAAGAAATAAAGTGGTAAGAGGAAGCACTCAGTTCTCCCTACTGAAAAATTAAATCATTATTTCATAGCATCCAAGTTTTCAGCATGACCTTAATAATATCAGAAAGTTGGCTTACTTGTATAATAAAATGAAGTGCATGCTAGGAACCGATCTCAGTAAACAGTCTACCAGCTCAAAGAAGAATCTCCAACCTCATCATCCCTTGTATTACAGTCCCCTAGGGACTTGACAGAGTTTCTCTCAGAGGGGCAGAGATTTCCTTGTTTTAGATCAGGCTCAAGGTGGGCACTGGGGTACATCCAAAAGGAAAACATGAACAGATAAAACCGCACACTTTCACTTGCACACCATTGCAGGCACCTGTGCTTAGAGAATTGATTGGAGTCTCGGTTTCATAGTTTGAAAAGCCATGTCTTTTCCAGAAAACATCTAATCACCATAAGAAGCTGGGGAACACCAAATGCATTCCAAAGTGAATCTTCACTGATAGAGATGCAGTGTCATTCCTCAGACATCCCACGGAGTGGAACGCTCAGTAACTGACACTATAGACAGAGCTAGCTTCCTGGCTGTGGGGCCCGTCCTGTCACCCAGGACCTGGGCTTGGTTTAACGCTCTGCCGTCACTATCTCTGAATTCTTCATACATTTTAACAAGGATTCCCGGATTTTCACTCTGCAGTGGGCCACACAAATTTTTAGCCAGTTAGTTTGTAGATGTTATTGTTATAACACTATATTTGTAACTGAATTTGAGGCATTCTAAGCTCTATTTTAGGAATGATCAAAGTTGTCATAATATTTATGCTTCTATAAGGTTTTTATTGACCTCCTGTACTGTGCCTGGCACTCTGCCAGACTTATGGAAAGTAAACATGAAAACAACATAGTCCCCGCCTTCAAAGAGCATTTATTCTAGTGTTAAGCACTTACTTCTATATAGTCCTGGCTTTTAAAAATTGGGAATAGTTGCATAAAACTGGCTGCAAAAACTGAAAAGTAGATTCTTCCACATATGTGCGAGGCAAATGCATAGTGCAGAGGAACTAAATGTTCCTGGAGAGGAATGTGTACATGGTCCTTTTTTTCCTGCTAAATACACATGGTGTTTAGTTAGGACCATTTTTTCCTTGTTAAATACATATAGATGTAGCCATGCTAGTTCTTTAAATACTCAGCAGTTTCCCTTTATCTGTTTGATTGAAGAGAATTGGGTTCCTTGTTTGATTTTTAAAACTTATTCTAGACAAAAAAAAATCCATTTCATAAAAAGACAATTTCTGAAATACCATTTTATTTTAAATTTAATGGTGACTCCATTTTTGTCTAGAGCAGTGGTTCCCAAACTTATTTGGCCTACCGTCCCCTTTCCAGAAAAAATATTACTCAGCCCCTGGAAATTAATTTTTTTTAAATTTTAATAGCAGTTACTCATCGCCCCCAAATGCACCTGTGGCCATCACTGCCCCACCCTGGATCGCTGCAGCGCCCACGGGGGGGGGGGGGGGGGGAGCGCCCACTTTGGGTATCACTGGTCTAGAGCAAGGAAAGCGTTTTCTTAGCAGGCTTAACCTGATGGCCAGGGAGCAGTTATCTGGGCCGATTTCCATGGTGGGGCCTGGTACCCAGGCTAACAGTGGTGAATGGAGAATGAGGGATTCCTCACCACCCATTTGCATGTTGTTATATCTCTCCCACTATACATACCTCACTGACACAGAATCTTGAAAATTATCTTCATAAATGTCATTCCCAACACCTGAATTGAGTACTAGAAATGATGTGCCATATGTCCTGATGTGAATTCATCTAGAGCATAGACTTAAATATGCTGTATGTATATTATGAGAAATATTAATAAGCTAATATGCTGTGGTTAGTTAAGGTATCTTTCTAGATCAAATTTAAGACATGAGATTCCTACAGAGCTAGAATGATATGCAAAAGAAACACTGGATTTACCACATGGTGAAAACATTTCAAATGATAGAAATAATTCCTATTATAACTTGCACCTTAAACGTTATTAAGCATATTGAAAAATCAACACTTTATAAAGCCTTGAACCAAGACATAGAATTATTTTTCTTTATTTGTAGTAATCCTCTTGTCTTAAAACCCCAAATTAAGGAAATACAAAGTTAGTTTGTCCACATATTTTTTAAAATACATTATTGAATAATTACTTTTTCCCCCCTGAACTTAACAGTGTTCCTTCTGACTTGAAGATATGTGTGACTTCCTCGTCTTCCCTTAGGCCTCATAGTGGTTTACAATAAATAATCAGAAAAAAAGAAATACATGCTTTGGCAAGGCAGGGTAATCAATGTTTAGTGCCTCTCTGTCTTTCTGTAGAATGTAAATGTATAAGTACTTTTGTTACATTATTGAATAAGGTAAGGAAATATATAGCCTTCAGATGTCTTGTAATCATCATTCCTTCTAAAGGAACAAGTCTCACCTTCTAAATCAATGACTTGGATGGCTTTTTATATTTTGCATACCTAAATACATATATTGTTATGAAAGACATATGCAAGTTCTTGTGTGTATGAATATACGCCAATAGTAAAAATAAATCTAATTGACCCTCTGCCTTCATGAACAATAATTAAAAACAATAGCTAACATTTTACAGCATTCGAGTCTGATATTTTATGAAGCTTTATTGATTATCTGCAGTCTGTCATTACATATAACAGGCAGTGCTTCAAAAGAAAAAATTGAACAATGCCTTTAAGACATCAGCTCCGTGCTGATGGATCTAATACCTCAATTCCCCATTCCTTTGCCTTTCTGAGCTATTGTTTATTTAAGCAGTTTTGAGTGTTCTTGCATATTGACTAAAGGAGCTGAAATTGACAGAGGCAGAGTTATCCTGTGGCACCCTGACAGTTTGGATCCTGCTGTTTAACAATAGAAAAACCAGAAGTGATGCTCTGCCTAAAGAAAGCAAATTAAAAAAAACAAAGTGAGAAAGGAAGCCAGCCACAGGAAACGTCATTTATATCCAGCGTCGGGAATTTAAAATGGTAGAGCAGCTTTGAAAGCTAGTTTTGTCTGTGATGCAAGTAAAGCCAATTTTTACTGCAAAACAAATAGGCAAAGACCGGATGCATTCCTGATTGACAGCTATCCCATGACCTACATGAAAAGTCCCCGGCCAGGGTCCTTAGTGGACAAACATCCACATAGTCCATGGCTGTCTGCCAAAACAGGTCAGCAACTGAGTGACCAATGAAATGAGTTGCAAGGTAACATCTGAGCAATCAGTCTTCAACTACCAATACCATACCCTCTATTTGCTACTGAATATATATATATATTACTTTATAGAACCTGTAAAAACTTTTAATTGTGACCTCAGAGTTTTAAATTTACATATTAGCCTGGGGTGCTTAATCAACATAGAGAATTAATAATAATTGTAGTCTCCTCTGCCCCTCATAGGAAGAGAATTATCGGGCTTACCTTATTTATAGTGTATGGGAAGACTTGTCTTAAAAAATATATTTTTATTGATTTTAGAGAGAGAGTAAGGGAGAGAGAGAGAGAGAGAGAGAGAGAGAGAGAGAGAGAGAGAGACATCGATGGGAAACATCAGTTGCTGCCTCCTGCAGTCCACTATGGGGGAACAAGCCCACAACCCAGGCATGTGTTCTGATCAGGAATCAAACCAATGACCTCTTGGTGCAAGGGATGACGCTCAATCCACTGAGCCACACTGGCCGGGCTGGGAGATTATTTTTTTTATTTCTCTTTGATGAAATGTAAGGATTTTTTTAAAGGCACTTTTATTATTTTTTTTTAAATTGGGAATTATGCATAACCCAAATTAAAAGAAAATATACCTTAAAGTGTGCAAATATCTCAAGGGTTTTTAGGTTTTGTTTATTCATCAGTGTTGGAATAGCAGGTGACAGCAATATACTTAAACATTTTCAGTGATGTAAAAATGAGACTATTGTTCTTCATAATAATATTTAGTAATATAATGAAAATAGGTTTGACTACTCATATAACACATCTGACATTTGAGGCGTAGTTTCAAAATAAGATCAAACAGAATTGCTAGATTCTAGGCTCCATTGTGGCTCTCCTGTTGTCTGAGTTGAAGTTATCATCTATATTTCTAGTACTTAGCATAATTCTGAACTCAATAAATATTTGTGGTTGAATGAATGAATATTTCATGTGGTGCACTTTTAAAAATAATGGTAGATTTGATCCTTAATTCATGTTTCTAATATTCCTTCTCAGCTCCTTGCAAAGATTTACCCGTGAACCTTGTATTTTTCAAAAGAATTTTTCAAAATTTTCTTTTACTTTTATCAACTCTCAAGGGTAACACTGTATAGTGGGAGGTGTAGTACTATATCTGGAAGATCCCAGTTTTAGAGGAAGACAAACCTGGGTCCTGATGGCACTTCCGCTATTTTCTACCTGTGTGCCAGGGCAAGATATTTATTCTCCCTGATGTTGAGTTCTGCCATGCACAAAAATGAGAATGATCTAAATCCTTAACTGAGCAACCAGTCAATAGACCTAGTGTACCGCCTAGTGCACAGCAGTCATTCACATTGCTTCCTTAGATTACAAGGCATTATTTTTTAAGTGAGTAGCAAGTAAAATGCAGGTGTTTACTATGTTTTGAACATTTTCCACTTTCTTCTTGTTTTACCAGACGACGACTTTTTTCATGAACTGCCAGAAACTTTTCCATCTGACCCACCTGAACCTTTGCCACATTTCCTGATCGAGCCTGAAGAAGCTTATATTGTGAAGAACAAGCCTGTGAACCTGTATTGTAAAGCCAGCCCTGCCACCCAGATCTACTTCAAGTGCAATAGTGAGTGGGTTCATCAGAAGGACCACATAGTAGATGAGAGAGTGGATGAAACCTCTGGTAAGTTCTCCGTTGCATTTGGACTGTGACTTAGGATCCACTTACTACTTTAGCATGTCATCATACTGTCCTTTCAATTAGTTAAACTGAAAATTGAGTTATTATTCTGTGGCCAAAAGTTTGAATCCGTTTGGTTAGTATTTGGTGATCTCCTTTCATGCATTGCAGAGTAAAATGTGATAAATAAATCTTGACTTGATTCCTGTTGGATTCCATGGAACTAAAACATGGTTCATGCTAAGATAAATAATGAGAATTAATAGGCTGAAGAAATGGTAAATGCCCTAGTGAAAGATGCTGTTGGATGTCACTTCTGTGTCAAGACTGGTGTCAGGCCTAAATAGCCTGTGATTGGGGAACATATTCAACTCAGGATAAATTGGATTTGTTTACATGACTCTCCAATGTTAATTCACATGGATAATTTCTCCTTCTACTTTTTCAAACGATCTAAAATGTTACAGATTCAAAGTATCCTGTATTCTTAACTTACATGTAAAAAAATGAACCCTAATGACTTAGCTCAACTAAAGGTAAACTGAGGCTGATTGGGAATAGTGGTGGTGCGGGGTCCATGCAGAGGAGAAATGGTGAGTGCAGTCACCATCTGTCAAGATGCATCTTGATCAGAGTATCTTTGCTCCTGGCATGGTTCAAACTCCTGATTGCATTGCGCTGTAAATATTCCTAACAGTAATAATAAAAGCGTAGAGAGGACGAAGTTGATTTTGATAACCTGTGAAATTTAGCTTGGCTATAAAGGAAACTTTCTTGATAGCAATTATTTACTCCATAGTGGGTAACTTACGAGAGTTGTGGAATCTCCTAGAGTTATTTTAAATTGGAAAGATATATGTCTTTCCGCAGTGGGTTAAGTGTTTTTGCTCTCCAGCAGGGAGAATAACAATGGGAACTTTCAGATCACTTCCAGATCTATGACTTTATAAGATGAAGACATATATTTTAAATATTAAGACTTCGCTGATGCATATTCTCAAGCTAAATAGTGCCATATATGACAAAGTGGAAGCATTGAAATATCTTCATTTTCATTCTTAAATATGGATACATGTTTTGAAAATATTAATTGATCATATTTGTATCCAACTGTGGATTAACCAAGGGCAAGCAAAGGCCAGCACTTGAGGGGGGTCTGCTTTTAATGTCTCTTAAAACATAAAGAGGATATTGAGGTGATGGGACATAAAGAAACAGAGAAGACTGTGGGCAGGCTGAGAAGAGGCATCTATCTAAAACACACCTCACGTGTGTTATATTTCTATCAGGTGGCAGCTCTACCCAATTGTTTGTCAGTTTGCGAATCAATATGCTCACTGCATGCGAGCTGATGACTGCAGAAATGACTGGGTAGCCAACTGCAGGGTAGCTGACTTTAGGGAATTGTCCCACCTCTTGGTCTAATTACTCAGAAAATAACTTCACCAGATGTCTTCAAAATCTCAAGTGAATTGAGTTTTATTTGTTTTAGCTCATTTATTTGTAAAGATTTCAAGCACAGAAGTTTTAATGGTAAGAAGAAAAGAAGGAAATCATAAAAGTTAAAATAAGTGTCACAAACATATTTAGGCTTCTCTTTACCAAAGTAATGAAAATGCCTACATAGGAATATTAGAAATAAAAACAAAACTGCTCTGACATTGAGAATGTCTGAACAGAGAATACTCAAACTTCTAAGGCATTTTACAATGCAATAAAGATGATTTTTCAAACTACAAGGTAGGCAGGTGGAAAAGTAAAAAAGGAGATCACAGTTTAATTCCCGGTCAGGATACATGCCGGGTTGCTGGCTCAAAACCCAGTGTAGGGAGTTCAGGAGGCAGCCGATCAATGATTCTCTCTCATCACTGATGTTTCTATCTCTCACTCCCTCTCCCTTCCTTTCTGAAATCAATAAAAATATATTTAAAATAAAATAAATTATAGATTTTAAGGCTTTAATGTCATCATCATCATCATCACCACCATCATCACTAGGAGACAAATTCAATTGGTTGGTTGGTTGGTTTCATTGGTGGACAAAGCCTTTTTAATGAAGACAACATGGAGAAGTCTTATAATAAAGCACTAAAGGCCCAATGCACGAAAATATGTACAAGAGTAGGCCTTTCTTCCCCCAGCTGCCAGCACTAGCTTCCCTCCGGCACCTGGGACCCTGGCTTCCCTTCTCCGGCTGCCCACAGGCACCTGGGACCCCGGCTGACTTCCCTCTGGCCCCAGCTTCATCAGGAAGGACGTCCGGATTGACATCCGGAAGACGTCTGGTCTAATTAGCATATTACCCTTTTATTATTACAGATTATTAATTTGAACATCCAAAGAAAACCAAGGTACAGACCCTCCCTCTGAAAAAAAACACACATACAAAAAAAACACCCTAAAACAAACATACAAAAAACAATTGGTTATATCTGTGAACATACTAGTATATAAATCAAAGGGCTAATTTAATTAATGTATAACTATGTCTCTTTTTTATTGAATTTACTAGAGGTCCAATGCACGGAATTTGTGCACTGGCAGGGTCCCTAACAGCTGCAGTCAAGGGGACAATTTGCATACTATGCTTTTATTATATAGGGTTGAGGTGATATTGGTTAATAAAATTATATACTAGTAGGTTTCAGGTGTACAATTCTATAATACATCATCTGTATATTGCACTATGTGTTCACCACCCCAAGTCAAGTCTCCTTCAGTCCCCATTTATCCTCCCTTTACCCTCTTCTACCTCCCTCTCTCTGGTATTAGCCATACTGTTATTTATGTGGGGGTTTTTGTTTTTTGTTTTGCTTAATCCCTTTACTTTTCCACCCAGCCCTTCAACACTCCTCCCTCTCTTAAAGATATTTAATCAAAAGATCAGCAACCCATTAGAAAATTCAGCAGAGTTTGAACATGGAGATATAGGAAAAAAGGCAAATGATTAAAAGGCATCTAAGGAGATGTTGTCCAGATCAAAACAGGCATTAGTGTACAGGGCTGAAAAAGGAGTGGATAGAGAATATCTCATACTTTGTTGATGAGATTGGCACAATCTTTTTGAAGGACAGTTTTCAAATAACTATCAATACTTAAATGTATATACCCTTTCTTCACTAATTACAAATTTAGACAGTCTAAAGGTAAAAGTCTAAATGAGCACAAAGATTGCATGCAAGGTTGTCCATTGTACCCTTGTTACAGTAGCCTATCAACGGCTGTTTGTTCATTCCTAGGCTGGAATACTATGATGCTTTTTAAAGCAATGAGTTTTCTCCATATATAAAGCTATAGTAAAATCTCTCAGATAACATTTTAAGTGAAAACTGAAGTATGGAACTGTATATAATATTTTCTCATTATGTAGGAAAGAGGATACACATATGTTTGTCTATGCATTGGGATTTTCTAGAAAATTATAACAAGTAGTTGGCATCTCAGAATCTGGGGTGATAGGAGATTTCTTTTATTATTTTTTCCCAATTCTGTGAATGTGTTATTTTCATAATAAATAATGAAACCTGGGGGAGAAGGGGTAAGCTCAAAGCACTTTATTGCATCTTTTTGCCTGCTATCATAAGTCTCCAGTCTCTATAGTATTGGGGGAAATGCGTAGATTTCTAGTACTTAAAGCTCTTTGCTTTCCTGTGAAATCAGAAATATTATGAATGGTATTGAAATTGAACTGCCTGTTTTTGTTGGTGTGTTTTTTTAATCTCTGAAGCTGGATACACTTGAAAATTTGGTCCTCAAGTCTCCACTTAAAATAGTCTGATTATAGTTTTGTTGGGGTCGTAATGGTTCCTAATCATAAGACATGTTAGAATACATTAAATCTTGAAATATATTACAAATTGGAGAAATTTTCTTGGTATTTAAAAAATCAAATTGGTTCTCAGATGACAGGACAGAGAGACGTCATTACAAACCAATTAATCTTTATAGATACCTCCATTTTAGAATAATGATATCGGAAGCATGTTTAGTGGCAATCTGATACATTGCCTTGTAGCTGAAAATAATCAACTGCATTCAAATATATCCTCATCAAAGATACCTTCACATTGAAAAACTACAGAACAATAAGCTGAAGAAAATAATGACAGTTCTTCTCTAACTCAAAAAATATTTCCTTTTAAATATGGAATATTAAATAGACTTACTTGCTCTGAAGTATGAAGCAAACAATTATTTTACTCACTGAGCAAAGCTATACCACTGATCATAAAATGTACTGATTCAAGTTCATTCATTACTGGTATTGTTTGCCTTTCCATCACTTAAACCACATTTGCATTTCTTGCAAATATGTAATATTAGAAACAGAAAAGTGGAAAGCAGATCAGATGGTTTAGAAATTTTCAATATTCAGAAGCTCTTGATTTAGCAATCTATATATATAAAGAGCCAGGGGCCATCGCAACCAAACGGATGACCGAACAGACGACCGAAAAGGCTGAGTGGGGTAACAAGGCCAGCAGGGGGGTTAGTGAGGGATGACCAAACGACTGAGCAACAGGCTGCATGGGCTGACCAGGCCAGCAGAGGGGTTAGTGAGAGACGACCAAACAACTGAACAGCAGACAGAGTGGGGCAACCAAGCCAACAGGGGGGTTACTGAGGGATGACCAAACAACTGAACAGCAGGCTGTGTGGGGTGATCAGGCGGCAGAGGGAGGCAGTGAGGGGCGGCCTGCAGGGGAGGCAGTGAGGGGTGACCAGGCCAGCAGAGAGGGGCCATGAAGGGCAACCAAGGTGGCGGGGGGGGCAGTTTGGGGTGATCAGGCCAGAGGGGGGGCAGTTGGAGGCAGCCAGGTTGGCAGAGGGGTGCAGTTAAGGTTGACCAGGCCTGCAGAGGGGGTCAGTGAGGGGCAACTAGGCTGGTGGGGGGCCATTGGGAATGACCAGGCCTGCAGAGGGGGCAGTTGGGGGTGCCCAGGCTGGCGGGGGGCAGTTAGGGGTAACATGCTGGTGGGGGGGCAGTTGGAGGCAACCAGTTT